TTGCAGACAAATATTATTCAGTGTGAGTTGGTTTCTCATACTCGCTAGTTAACACAGCTTGTTGCACATTTTCACTCCCAACTCGTCACATATTGATGCTTGGTCAGGACCCTCTGGCGTCACTTTTTGACACACAGGGGTACCCCTTTAGCATCATTTTTTGGCATGCAGGGTCCTCCATTGCTTTAAATAAGAAAGCTTTGCCGTTAGTATGCAGACACGAAAGGCATTTGAAATTTTATCGTCATGATTAAATTATATATTGTGTAATAATTTTGCCATTATTGCATACATGTTGGGGTGTGATTTTTCAGCGTAAACAGCATTAAAAGACAAAAATCACCGGACTTGTTTGTCTGTCTCCGACTGAGAAAAGCACAAAAAAATTATATATAATTTGGTGATTTTTGTCTTTTAAACCAGAAAGACGGCTGACAGATCTAACCGACACTCGCGCCACAGAAACTAATTTAACAGGTAACGTTAAAGTTAGACAAACCCGCCCATTCACTATATTACAATAACTTTGAACTTTTTCTTAATCGTTTTTTTATGATCCGCTTCGTCAGTTTCATCTAGCATATCCATGTGATGCTAATTAAGTTTACTAATGCAGCCGAAGCCCCGGTAACGTTAAACACATCGGCTCGAGGAGCATTTATGATGGCTGTTTTGCTAACGTTATTTACCATTTCAGACTCATATTTGCGCCTCGCATTTTTTTATTTGAAACTCATACTTGCATATGTTTTTGAAATCAATTTTTTCAGAGCAAAGGCAGCGTGGAGTGCTGGGATGTCAAAGGCAACAAGATGGCTGCAATACTACGGGTATGTACTTCTGAATAAGCAATTAATGTGAACTAAATTATACTTCAATGTCATATATCTCTGGCAATGAAGTTGAAATGTAGTATATTTAAATTTAAAATATATATTACCTAGTTACAATCAACACAAACACAAAATGGAAAACCCTCTACATTTATTGACAAAATCTCTAAAACAAATACACAAAAACACTTTTTGCTGATGCACAAGAAAAACCCAATACACAGTTACAACACTTTAACTCACTTATTAGAGTCTGGAGAATAATGCAAAATCACTTACATACTTACATACAAAAGTACCTAATCTCGCCATCATAGAAAACATCATTCTGTATGATGTATAAGCCTGTTCCCTTTCATGGGAACTTCGAACTGCGTCCTCTAGGGGTCGCTATGGGGAACGCCTCGTCGTGACCCGTGTCTGAAGCATACATTGAAAAAACACTAACAACACGTTGGCCGGCGACAGCCATGACGTCACTACCGGTGCGACTATAGTATAAATAGAACACATCATCCTCGTCTTCGTCGTCATTGACTGTTTTGTTTGAAGCGTGCATTTCTGTGGTAAGAGCGATCTCTATTCATCTCATTATGGCGAGCACT